AACTTACATAACAGTTAAACTATATTTACATGTTAAGAATGATTATAAAATCGACTTGCTAAATTGTTCCCCAATTAAATTATTGAAGAGCTTAAATGAACAACTTGAAATGGCTGGTAATAAAAATAATCAACACCAACATTCCCTCTAAGTTCTGCAGGCATGCAGGTGTGCAGCGCCGCATCAGGGCTGCGCAATTGAGCTAACGTTTCCATCCATTTGCTTCTGGTTGTGGCTAGATGTCTGTGTGCATGTTGTGAAGCCCCCATGCAGCGCTCCAGAAGATTAGAGGGAATGTTGATCAGCACCATGCAGTATTACCCAGAAGTGACATGTAATGATGGAAGGAAACACCATTTTAAGATGTTGATGAAAATGTCCGTGAATTAAGGGAAATACATTGATTTTAAATAAATATTTTCAAGCTTTGTTAAGTTGGAGTGTCTCTAATGCACAGGTGTGGTTAGATGAGAATAGCCACCATTTTGGACCTTTCGTGGCTGTTGTTTGCAGTTGCTAGGCTTCAGGTGATAGTGGAACGCTCCCACTCCCGCAATAGGGAAAATGTTGGAACAGATTATGGGGAGTGACAATGGATAATTCCAGTTCACAATGTGAACAGAACATCCACAGCCTTAATTTACTACATTTAGAATTTAGAAGTACTGCTTTATTGAAGGCAGCTGATACCATACAATGCAAGGGTGATCGATATACTTTTCTGCTTCCAGAACAGGTCTTCTGAAAGGGCCTGTAATCTGGTCTATATAGAACAATTTGGAAACAAAGTAAACGCCAGTTCAGTCCCTCAGAAACCCAGTGCTGTCAACATGAATAGAGAAGATTGGTTAGCCCTGCCCTCTGTCTTATTGCTTTGTTGATAAAAGCAGTGATGAGTCTGAAAAGGTTAAGTTTCTGCTTGCATATAGGCTCCACACATGATTAAATAACCAGAAAACCAGCTAAATGTGGGTTGTAACTTCCCTGTAGCATGCAAGGATGATCCTTCTCTTCAGAGCCATCACTGAAACGAAATAACAAGGGGTGTGGCAGGTCTTGCTGCCCTTCTCGATCTTTCTTGATGATGCTAGATTTCAGAAATACTAAATAGGACTTTGCCTGCCCATTCCAGAATAATAAGACGAAAGACGGTAACATGGGGTAATTAGGGTCACAACTTTATTAACCTATTTATAGCCTGGATTCCCCCTTTTCCAAGGGGGCCTACCCTCATGCAAAAACTGGTCTGTAACCAAAGTCAACCTTGACTTTCTGGTCCAGACCTTGGCCAATCGGGTTCCTCTTCCAAGAGGATGCTGTCCTACCCTACAGCATGCCTTCATGTCTCCAATAGTTGTAGTAACCCAAGGCAATAAATACATGAGCAGAGGGGTGTTTTGCAAGTTTTGGGTGCCCTCTTTGGAAGTCAACA